CAGCCAGCATCCTTCAGTATATGGGATATTCCTTCTTTTCTTCTAATTCCAAAAATTACCGTGAGCAGGACTTTTAAACTTTTAGTATTTTTTTCTTGAATTTGTTGGTTAAACATGGACCATACAAAACATCAGCACTATTTATTATAGTTGAAACGAATAAATATTCATTCTGTTATGCCGTGGTATTACTGATCGATAGAGAATTTCGTATTCTATATATTATTGCTGATAATTTTTGTTGTTAACGTTGGTTCGAAAAATTTCATTCCAGAGATTTTAGCGTCAAAGATTAGCACCGAAGTGGTCGAACCCGGACGAGGATTTGAGGTGTAGACTGACCCATCACAAATGGTGCGTGGAATGGCGGAAGAACTGGGCGTCAGCTCTCATGCGGTTTTTGATGGTTCAAACCGCATTGGGAAGGACAAAGAGCTGGAAAAGTAGGTGCCTCACTATTGGAATGATCAACAGAATTCGTCACATTCCGAAGTCTGTTCTTCTTTGCTTTGGCGCAACCAAATCTATCCTATTTTGGATCAGATCATCAAATGTGGTTGAAAGTGGACACTCTACCAAAAACAGCAGACGTTCAGGACGATGATTGGACCCCGATGAGCCACTCAGGCACTTTCCAAAGGCAAATACACCCACAACAAAACCCTGGTTAGTGTATGGTGGTCAGCGGTTGGTGTTATTTAGTATAACTTTCTGCAACCGAGCCAAACCATCACAGCAGAGTCTTATTGTGCGGAAATCGACAGAATGTATCGAACCTGCATCAGCAATAGCCGACAAAAGTAAAGGTCCTAATCTGCTCCACGGCAACGCTCGTCTGCACGTTTCACAAATTACCGTACGGAAATTAAACGAATTCAGCATCGAAATTCTGCCTCATTCAGCGTATTTCTCATATCTCTCACCGACCGACTACCATCGCCCGGGCAAATCTCTCTGGCTTGCATAGATATGCTTGTTTGGCCATCAGAGGTGCCATTAGTACCACACCGTCAGCGACCATGGAGATCCTTCTGGATCTACCTCCTCTCCACATTTTTCTGGAGAGAGGCTAGATGGACTGCATATAGACTTGTGTACATTGCCTATTACACAAATAAATTTAATGCAGAGGGCAACAGACTGTTGGCAACACTGGAAGTCACAGCATTCTGAAAATGACCTGTGACTTCATGCCTTCAACTACGAATTGCCTCATATAGTACTGTTCCTCAGTAGAGACGACTGGATTCTCCGGGAGAAGGAAATATTAAAAGCAGATATTTGTTGGTACACAGATAGATCAAAAACACCTTCTGGTTCTGGTGCAGGTGTTTTCAGTCGCAGACCTAGAACGGAGATATCAACCTGCCTAGAAACCTATGAGACTGTAATTCTAGCGGAAATTTACGCTATTGAATTGTGTGCGGAGAAATTGGAAGACTCCAACCTCATACACAAGTCAATAAAAATTTTCTCGGACATCGTCTAAATTGGTAGCAAATTGCCAGAAACGACTCTTCTCGATAGGAAGACTAAACATATTGTCTCTGGTCTGAATTCCTGGCCATACTGGCCTAGAAGGCAATGAGGCTGCTGCCTCCTTTGTAAAGGAGGGTGCTGCAAACAGCTTCATCGGACCAGAACCTGTCAATGGCATCGCTTCAGGCTTTGCCAAAAAAGGACTGAACACCTGGATGGCAAGAAAATTTATGGATTTTGACAGAATCTTCCAGAATTGGCCCACTCCAAGGTATTTATTCAAGCTTGATACCAAACAGTTGTTGGATACAGTAGGGATGAACTACGATGTCTAACAGGCCTGCTTACAGGTCGCTGTCATTTGAAACGTTATATGCAGAGACTCGGACTGTCGAAAAAAAGTGTGTGTGTGTCGCCTCTATTTGGAAAATGATGAGATAGCATAGCACTTTGTGCCTGTCGCGCTGGGGATCCAATCAGGTTTTTAGAGTTCGGCAGAGCCGTACCCTTACCCTGACCTGAAACACCACTTACTATACAAACTGATCAGCTTCGTTAGGAATCGGGGTTTATTTGGTCGAGTTTGAATAGGTGTAAGCCACAATAAAATCTTGCGGGTTGCGGTGGAGGGTCGAATACACCCACGCACTTTGGACCTAACCTAACCATCTTCTCAATCACTTCGATAAATCTCTCTCCAGTAGAACCTTCGCTAATCAAGACCAGGCAAAATCAACTTTGTCGACTCCATCGAATCTTGAGTAAATAATTTTCATGCTGACGAAATTGATCGGCTCGTGTTACGTTGGCAAAACTGCACTGATTCGAATAGCATTTATTTTGGTATGATTGAAGTATTCACTGAGATATTACAGTTCAAAGTAGAGTCACGAAAGCGGCCAAAACTTTTTAAATAACCCAACAAAATTTGTAATGGTTCAGTGAAACATTCGTCATACGATTTGAAGAATAATCTATGATACCTGTGTAGACCGCAGCTTTCAATGTTTTCTATCTTGCAATGGATGTTCCTTATTTATGTACTTTATGTTATGCGAGTGTATTTCAATAAATTGAGGGTGATATATGATTTATATTCACGGAAAAAATTTTGGAATCGATAGGCAGTCATATTATTGAAATTAAGACAAAAGTGATTGTTTCGTGCTGAAAACAAATTACCTAAAAACATTTCAGTTACATATTGGATCACTTGAAGATACTTGAACATATTTTTCGTATTTGTTCTCATAATATATTATATACCTTTTTTTGTATGAAAAGTTATTCACTGTTGTTTCGATTCACGAATAATAATTCCATTACACAGTTTGAAAATCGTCAAGGATGATTGATCATTGATGAAGTCTAGATGTAACACTGACATATTAAAAAAAAAAAGGAAATACTTACTCATCTACGCAGTGACCAGCCGTAGCTATCCAGTTCTCGTTGAGAATAGCTCCACCGCATCGATGTGTGCTGGAAAATCCGAAAAATGACGTTCTTCTAACTGAGACCTGAAAAAAGTCTGCGAAAATATACTGTTCAAATTACTTAGGATCTGAAGCCATTTTCAGTTTCCGAAAAAATGTATCTCGCTAAGTTTCACGTCATGTGAAAAAAAACTGGTTTCGAAAAATGCCTTGCCCTATTTCTTGAAGCAAGATAAAGAGGAGAAGAAAGTTATGATTGGGGATAATTTAGCAAGTCATATATCCCCATATATAATAGGAGAATGTAAAAAACAACATCCTCTTCATTCTACTTCCTCCAAACAGCACTGGACTCACTCAGCCGTTATGTAGCATTTTTTCGTCCACTTAAAATCAAGTGGCGTGAAACTTTATCTTCATGGAAAGCAAAAAATCGTGAAACTATTCCAAAAGATACATTTCCTCGACTAAAACAATACGAGAAAACTGGAAATGGCCTGAACATAAGGATGAGCTCTATTATTGCTGGCAGGATATTGTAGGTGGCATTAAACCACCTAAAGCGCTGAATAAACGAGGTATTTTTTCAATACCAGAAATGAAACTTTTCAGTTAAGCTAAATTACTATAATCAGTCATTATCAAATACATTTTTTAAGTTCTTTGTGTTTTTATTGACCCCAAAAATATTTTCATTGTCTCTTACGTTAACATAACACTGTCTATTTATATTTCCATTGTCCCAAGTTACCACAACAATGCATAATTTGAGCTGTTCATTGATTTTATATAGCTGTCTGAAGTTACCCTATTCTGGTGGGTAACTTGAGACAAGCTTGAAAAATTAAAAAAAGTACTTATGACAATATAAAATTGAATATTCTACTAACATATGATAGTTACCTATATGACTAATGTTTTCAAATAGTTTTTCAACATTCAGTTATTCTAGGTATGTCGTGAACTTCACTTCAAAGTTAAAACGTGTCTCAAGTTACCCCAAATTACGGTATTTAGTTTGAAAATAGGAGTTTCCCTTCAATAGTATCCAATTTGGGTCACTCTGTACGTTTCAATTTTAGATATTCGAACATATCTGTCAATGAAAAATTGACGTCGTCTCAAAAAAGTTTTAGTTAAATTTTTTCCTCCAAGATTTCCTTATGAAATAGACCAACAACACAGTCACCATAAAGTTTCAGGTCGAACGTAGCTTTTCAAGACGTTTTTTCGTTAACATCATTAGCCATTTGTGATTTTCATCAGACCACTATCATCATGACCATCAACATTTCCAGTCAAAAAAAAAACAGTCAACTGTGGAAGAACCTGTCAAAGTCATCTTCATTTAACTCATACAAGAGACAACTTTTTTACTTTTTTCGGTTAACTGATGATTCAAATTCTAGCCTTTGAACAACTGTGCTGTCATATTACCGCATCTACCGTTCTCTTGACAGAGTTCAATTATCAATACTTGTTTTGTAGTTGAATAAATTATTGCGAGCACAATTATGAGCCGACATAGGCATAAAAAACATTTATCGATGGAGTGTGACATAGGATACAAAAACTGAATTTATCTATTCATAACTTGTGTTTTGTCCTTAAAAAAATAACTATTGTTTGAATTCAAACAATTAATTATTATTATTGAACAAATTAGATAATTCCTGGCAAAACAAAACCAGTTGCATGACTTTTTTTAATGTGAAGTTTTTCTTAATGTAACGATATTTACTGTATCAAGTTCAAGAAAAAATGGATGATCTTTCTAACCATGTATCGCTTGACCCTCAATCCTGTTCAAGTTTCAAGGTTTGGTACACACCCTGATATGTGGAGGATTGGGAAAATTTGTGAGAATGATTTTGCCCAAAAAATGAGAACTGATGGGTGTAAACGTTTTTATATGAGAAATAAGGTGTTTTCTTTCCATTGCCGACCTATGTATAGAAATTATTCTTTCCATGATTTTGTTCTTCGATTACTGTAAGAGGCAGGTTTATTCTCCAATGACTGAAATTCCAGCTGCGTTAAACCGGAGAGAAATTTTTGTTGGAGGCAAGTTATGTTTGAACTCACTTGTAAGGGTCCTCCGGAATCCCCTTGACAGGAATCCTGACCTCCGCCGTCGTGTCCGGCACACAGGAAGATATCTGGAATGGACTCGTGTCTTCCGGCTCTCAGAAACATACTTTTACAGCGGTCGTTGCTAACTATAGGAACTTGAACCTGAAAATTCAACGAAAACAAAATCAGAAATAATGAAAAGAGAAACTCATAGTTATTGAACCTGGTATTCTATCTTCAACAAATTGTGAAAGGAAATACGGAATTTTTATATACTTTGTTGGGATACAAAATACCTGCATCATCAGTCAAGGTCATTTCATGGATGCCAAAAAACTTATCAGATAATAAATTTCGCATTTTTACACCACGACCTTCAGGTCTCGAATAGCACGATCCTCAAAACGGGCCCCAACTCCTTTATTCCAGGAGATATCTATCTCCTGAAATAGTTACTTGGGAGAAATCAAACAGAGTCGAGAAATTGTTTTTTCTGTCTGTTTCTAATTACATTTGTGAACAAATCGCTTATCACCATGGATAGAAACTTAAAATTTCAACCACTTATAGAATCTCATTAGATTATTTTATAAACGAAAATGGAAAAACTGTCTTTTCAGCAATTTTCAATTTTTTTCTTCTTAAAACTCCGAGTGACAAAAAAGTTCATAGATTTAGCTAGGATAGGTTAGGTTCAAAGTCAGTGGATCTACTCGACCCTCTACCGAAACTCTCAAGGGTCAAGCTCAGCTGTTTCACCATTTTCCAAACAGAGACACACACTGTCTTCCGACAGTCCTCCTAATCTCTTCATAAGATGATTCAAATGACAGTGACCTATAAGAAGGCCTGTTAGACATCGCAGTTCATTCCTACTGTAGTCCAACAACTATTTAGTAACAAGCTTCGAAAGGTGAATGAAGACCTTGGAGTGAGCTTATCCTGGAGGATTCTGTCAGACGTCCATAAATCTTCTTGCCATCTAGGTGTTCAGTCTTTGTTTGGCAAAACCTAAAGCGATACCAATGACAGCACCCTCCTTTGCAAGAGAGTCAGCAGCCTCATCTTCCAGGCTAGTATGGCCAGGAATCCTCCTATCGAGGAGAGTTGTTTTTGACAATTTGTTTTCAACGCCGCTCGACTGTCCGAGAAAATTTTTATTGACTTGTGTATGAGGTTGGATTCTTCCAATTTCTCCTCACAAAATTCAATAGCTAAAATTTTCGCTTTAACTACAGTCGCATAGGTTTATGGGCAGGTTATTATCTCTGTCCTGGTTCTGCGACTGAAAACACCTGCACCAGAACCAGAAGAAGTTTTAGATCCATCTGTGAACCAACAACTATCTGCTCTTAATATTTCCTTCTCCCAGAGGATCCAGTCCTTACTACTCGGCAATAGTACTTTATAAGGCAGTTCGTAGTTGACAGTTTGAGGCATAAAGTCAGAGGTCATTTCAAGAAAAGTTCATAGGAGTAACGTCTTCATTCCTTTGCAAAATGAATGGCAACATTTTTTCTGTAACTTCAATAGTACAGGCAGTATCCATGCTTAAACGAAAAATAATTTTCATCAATAACTCTAAAACTTCTGAAACTATTTTTTATTTTCGATTTGTGTAATAGATCGCCTCAGTATTTACATCATTAGTATTCGAAAATATTTCAAAAAGGTTATAGATTCGAAGACGTTTCCAGTATAAATTCAATAAATAGCTCAATAGTTTTAAGTTTGGTCGTAGTATTCAAATATGAAATATCACCTGTTTCGAGAATTCCATGATTTTCTACTTCTATAGTGCTTGTAATAACTCCAAGGCGCAAACAATTCTGACATTTAATTTTTACTCTGCATTCAAACCAGCTGTTTGCAAAAAATCGCAAATAAATCAAATGAATGAAAACCAATTTTCATCATAAATGACTGTCAGTCATATTCGTGAAAGAATCCATTTTTATCGTAGAAAAGAAAACACAAAATATGTCAAGTTGTTGAAGGCTTCCAAATTTAAACATTTAGGCGTTTTTCAATTTCGATTGCTTCCCGAATCATCCTGGCCTGAAGATTTTTCTCCGTAGCAATGTTCTTGGTGTTTTCGAAGCTTATTGTGTGGCCTGTTTCCTGGTGGTGTTCGAAAAGAGATGATGCTGGATCTGATTTACGAACAGCTAGTTCATAGGCTCTGCTTCATGCCCTCTGCTTCATTGGGTATCGTGTCCTTGGGTGTTCTTAACATAGTGGAGATTTGGTTGTTGGCTCTGATTACTGTCTTTACGTTATGTTTCTCCATAATTCGGCTCACTTTGTCAGTGACTCCATGGATGTAGGAGAGAAAAGCTTTTGTCTGGTTGGTCTGTTCCTCGGTTACTCTTGGGGTGGGGTTTGTGTTTGCTGTCGTTGGATGGATCTTTGTATTTGAGAGACGGGATAGTCGTTTTAGTGGAGGGCGGCTGTGAGTTCGTATAGTTCCCTGTATCTATTGTGGTTGTCAATGAGTCTTATAGAACGATGTATGAGCGAATTCAGCTGGGCAGGGTGATGATGGGACTTGGCATTGAGGTAGCGGTTAGTATGGGTAGGTTTTCGGTAGACCGTATGTGAGAAAGAGTTGTTGGACTTTGTGATCAGAACGTCGAGGAAAGGGAGCGAGTTATTATTCTCAAATTCCATTGTGAACTTCAGGTCGGAGTGCAAGGAGTTGATGTGGTTCAGGAATGCATGAGATCTTCGGATACATGGAGCCATATGACGAAGACATCATACACGTGGGTTTGAGATGAGACGTGTCAATGGCTCTGGTTTCGAAGTCCTCCATGTAGAGGTTTGTAAGGAGTGGAGAGAGATAGGAGAATCCATTGGGGCGCCTTTGAATGGTTTGTAGAATTTGTGCTGGACAAACATGCAGTGGCTGATGAGGTTAATCATATCTTGTGAGATTTGATGTTTCGTTTTGAGAAGGGACAAAGTTTAGGATACTGGGATATTTGCGAAAAGAGATGCTACGTCAAAGCTGACAGCTGAATTACTGGAGAGGAGCAAGTACTTTGAAATCGTACCACTATCGGTGGTCATCCTTACCAAATTTTTGCTGTATCAGCTCGTTTAGTTGTTTTTCGTTGGGTATCTGCCTACAAAGTCGTAGGTTCACGTGAGAGGCAAGGGGGTGAAGGGTTTTTCACCTGAACTTGGGCATGTCATATGCACTTTTCTGGAATGTCATTATTTTATAAATAGGGCTACAGTTCTTCAATAAGTTACCAGATTATGTTACCGAGTCCCCAGCTTCGTTAATGAGCTGGGTTTATTTGGTCGAGTGTGAATAGGTGAGAGCCACAATAAACCCTTGCGGGTTGCAGTGGAGGGTTGAATAGACCCACTCACTTTGGATCTAACCTAACCTGACCCCTACTTTGAATATTTTCAAAAATAGATATGCTTGTAAAGAAGTGTATTTATTCTGTGGATTACATTTTATCCGGAACTGACAGACACAAATGATTTATTTTCATCATGTATTTTCATTTGGTAAAATGATGAAGGGAGGTTATTTGAACTTCTTGTTCAAATAATGCTCTGAATAATTTATATGAATATTTAATACGATGTCATTTGAACGTTCTATCCTAGTCTATTTTCAATATGCTTGAAAGTAGCACAGCGTTATTATGAATTACATCAGCCTTTCAACTACAGAATGAACAACCAACAATCTCACCTCTTGCAGAATTGAAGGCAACGTCCCCCCTTCGCTGAGTCTGCCCCAACCTGTTACAGTGGCATTCTCCCCGATGAGTAGATCATCCGAAGCAGGCAGACAAATCGGGGATATGTGTGGCTGGTACTCGAAGGGTTTATCTACTCGTACTAGAGCTAGGTCGTACTCGTAAGTGAAGTAGTTGTACTTAGGGTGAACTACTTTTTTGGCGACACCTCTCTCCGTATAGGGCAATGTTTCTTGGACGCTGGAGAAGTCGTACTCGCCAACTCGAAGAGTATAGTAGGCCCTCCCAACTATGAGCGTTTTTACAGATTTTCTGAACTTGACTTCGCTTTTGATGACACGCAAGGTTAGGGGAAGGTGATTGAGAATTTTCTTGCCCTCAAAAATTAAAGAGTTCCGAGTTAAGGTTGAGGAGGGAATTGGAAGCGAGATCAAGTGAGAGGAGCGAGTGTTATAGGTTGACTCAAAAATAATTATAGCTTGGTATTTCTTGTGCCATTTCCAAAATGTAGATACAAACCAATGTCAGAACTCCATGTTGCATAAACAAAGGACGACAGGAGTCACGGTAAGCAGAACTACTTAGGTATCTAATTGCGCTTTTTTGGAGAGAGAATACTCTTTGAAATAAATACTGAGCACAAGCGCCTCATAAGCAGATTCCATAACGAAGATGTGATTCTATTATTGCGTAGTATACGTTCTCCGCTTTACCCAAATTCAACTCATTAGCAACGACACGAACCGCAAAACAACCTGAAGCTAATAGATTGCATAATTTTGTAATATGGTTACCAAACTTCAATTTATCATCAATCAGAGTCCCAGCAATGTATTATCCGTTGTAATGGAGATTTGTTCCTTCTCAAAATAAACATCATCTAAGTCGCCTTTGAATGTGATGATATTTGTTTTGCTTATATTAAAAGCAAGAAGATTGGAATAACACCAAATCTTAACTTTTTCTATATCTATGCTTATGTGGTAGTTAAGCTCTAACGAGCTTTTGTTGTGCCATAGAATCGATGTATCATCTGCAAAAATAGTAATTTCACCATTGATGTCTAAGTAGGTGAGGTCGTTAATATAAATGAGAAATAGAATCGGGCCCAAAACTGATCCTTGAGGAACTCCACTCTCAATTACCTGCTTTCCAGACTTAATACCATTAAATGATATAATTTGGACGTTTGATAGATATCCGTTTGGACGTTTGATAGATATCCATAAATCGTTCATTATGTTACAACGTGAAAATGGTCATAAAAAGGACATCCATAATATATCCTCCAACATTGAAATTATGGACATAAATCTAGGAACATATGGAGTGTAGACGAATATCCAATGGAAGAACATTAATCATCTATGTCAAATGAGCATGACATGAAATTTTATTCGCGTTTTTTATCGAAAGGACAAGGGTAGAAAACAACGGACGAAATATAAGACGAGGAAAGAGAAGAAGATTTTTCCTCGATAACTATAAATATGAAATAAATGTATTTCGTTCGAATTTTACAACACAAGTCACAAATATGCTGGTCAATCCTTGTTCTATTCATTGTGAGGTGAATCAATTATTTCAGTTGATGAAATAGGAATTCCATCTTAGACATCACTANGTCCTACCAAAGTTATACTTTTTTCTGCAGTTTAAAAGTCAAGACCTTCAGTACGTACATACGCTCAGGATATATTTTTTCCCAAAACTAAACGAAAAATAAACTCTGTAAATATCAGCAATTCGAAGAGAAAATATTTCGTGACCGTGGTTTTATGTAGAAGATGACGTCTGTCGCAGTAGCAGATGAAGCGTTTGGTACTTCAGGTGATTGTTATTATGATGTATTATTTATTTATTTAGTCACCCTAACATACCACATGCCTAATTACAAGGATGATCGCAATATATACAATATTTTACACAAAAAAAATTACATTACAAAATAAGTCAGTTACTGACGGGGTCGACTAATAAGTGTGATGATCCTACAAAGACATTGCCACTAGCTGTATGATAACTTTTTTTCTTAAATTTGCTAGAGAATCTGTCCAATCTATATAGATTCAGTTCATTTGCGAGACGTAATATACTTGCAACCTATAGAGCAGAAATTCTGTATATAAAACATTTTACTTGATCTTGTTCTTCTGGTTGGAACGTGAAAATCAACTAACGATAATGAATGAGGTGAGTTTAGTCTATTATTAATCAGCTGGTGGAAAAATAATATTACACATATTTTGCGCCTATTTTGGAGAGACAGTGTCTTGAATTCATTTCTCAAATGAGATGTTCTCACTAAACATTAGTCTGGCCATACGTGATATTTTTTGAAGTAAAGATACCTTTAACATTGTTTATGTAGTTTTTCCAATCCATATACTGTGGAGTGATACTCGCCAAACGATATATTTGATCCAAATTCCAAATTACTTATAACCAATGTATAGTACAGTATTTTGATCGAATGAATACTGCTGAAATTTTTAGTTTGCCTGATAATGAACCCTAACATTTTATTTGCATTTCTTGTAATACTTCTTATGTGAGTCCTGAATGATAATGTATTATTATATGTAATTCCTAGGTCTTTTAATTCTATGTTTCTTTCAAGAGGGACCCTATTCAGTTCGTAACTGAAAAGAATAGGGTCTTTCTTGTGCATAACCAACATTACTGAACATTTATCAACATTGAAAAATAATTTATTCTCACAACTCCACTCATAAATCCTGTCCAGAGCTTTTTCTAGCATTACACTGTCCAACACTGTTTGTACTTGTTTATAAATGTTTAGGTCATCGGAAAACATTAGACACTCATTTTTTTGAATAAAAAAAAAATAAGGACCTAAATTGGATCCCTGTGGGACTCCAGAGGTAACCTCAAACTTTTCAGAAGGTGAACCATCATATTTCACAAGTGAATCTCTGTTTTCCAAATGACTTTGAACAATTTGAGTGTATTTTCAGTTATCTCATAATTACTCAACTTCCACAATAAAATGTCATGATCTACTTCATCTAAAGCTTTTTGAAAGTCTGTATAGATAGTATCCAGTTGAGATTTGTTTTCAAGTACCTCTTCTGCTTTGTGAGTGAAAGTTAACAAGTTTGACTCTATATATTTATTTCTTACAAAACCGTTTTGCTCTACCCTGATATACTTTTCNCGGAAGAACTGGGCGTCAGCTCTCATGCGGTTTTTGATGGTTCAAACCGCATTGGGAAGGACAAAGAGCTGGAAAAGTAGGTGCCTCACTATTGGAATGATCAACAGAATTCGTCACATTCCGAAGTCTGTTCTTCTTTGCTTTGGCGCAACCAAATCTATCCTATTTTGGATCAGATCATCAAATGTGGTTGAAAGTGGACACTCTACCAAAAACAGCAGACGTTCAGGACGATGATTGGACCCCGATGAGCCACTCAGGCACTTTCCAAAGGCAAATACACCCACAACAAAACCCTGGTTAGTGTATGGTGGTCAGCGGTTGGTGTTATTTAGTATAACTTTCTGCAACCGAGCCAAACCATCACAGCAGAGTCTTATTGTGCGGAAATCGACGGAATGTATCGAACCTGCATCAGCAATAACCGACAAAAGTAAAGGTCCTAATCTGCTCCACGGCAACGCTCGTCTGCACGTTTCACAAATTACCGTACGGAAATTAAACGAATTCAGCATCGAAATTCTGCCTCATCCAGCGTATTTCTCAGATCTCTCACCAACCGACTACCATCGCCCGGGCGAATCTCTCTGGCTTGCAGAGATATGCTTGTCTGGCCATCAGAGGTGTCATTAGTACCATACCGTCAGCGACCATGGAGATCCTCCTAGATCTACCTCCTCTCCACATTTTTCTGGAGAGAGGCTAGATGGACTGCATATAGACTTGTGCACATTGCCTATTACACAAATAAATTCAATGCAGAGGGCAACAGACTGTTAGTTGACACTGGAAGTCACAGCATTCTGTAAATGATCTCTGACTTCATGCCTTCAACTACGAACTGCCTCATATAGTACTGTTCCTCAGTAGAGACGACTGGATTCTCCGGGAAAAGGAAATATTAAATTGTTGGTTCACAGATAGATCAAAAACACCTTCTGGTTCTGGTGCAGGTGTTTTCAGTCGCAGACCCAGAACAGAGATATCAACCTGCCTATAAACCTATGAGACTGCAATTCTAGCAGAAATTTACGCTATTGAATTGTGTGCGGAGAAATTGGAAGACTCCAACCTCATACATTAGTCAATAAAAATATTCTCGGACATTCAAGCGGCATTGGAAGCTCTTCTCTCCTTCTGAACATCGTCTAAATCGGTAGCAAATTGCCAGAAACGACTCTTCTCGATAGGAAGACTAAACATATTGTCTCTGGTTTGAATTCCTGGCCATACTGGCCTAGAAGGCAATGAGGATGCTGACTCCCTTGTAAAGGAGGGTGCTGCAAACAGCTTCATCGGACCAGAACCTGTCAATGGCATCGCTTCAGGCTTTGCCAAAAAAAGACTGAACACTTGGATGGCAAGAAGATTTATGGACTTTTGACAGAATCTTCCAGAATTGGCCCACTCCAAGGTATTTATTCACCCTTCGAAGCTTGATACCAAACAGTTGTTGGATTACAGTAGGGATGAACTACGATGTCTAACAGGCCTGCTTACAGGTCGCTGTCATTTGAAACATCATATGCAGAGACTCGGAATGTCGGAAAAAAGTGTGTGTGTGTTGCCTCTATTTGGAAAATGATGAGACAGCATAGCACTTAGTGCCTGCCGCGCTGGGGATGCAATCAGGTTCCTAGAATTCGGTAGGGCCGTACTCTTACCCTGACCTGAAACACCACACACTATACAAACTGATCAGCTTCGTTAAGAATCTGGGTTTATTTGGTCGAGTTTGAATAGGTGTGAGCCACAATTAAATCTTGCGGGTTGCGGTGGAGGGTCGAATAGACCCACGCACCTAACCTAACCATCTTCTCAACCACTTCGATAAATTTATCTCCAGTAGAACCTTCGCCAATCAAGACCAGGCAAAATCAATTTTGTCGACTCCATCGAATCTTGAGTAAATAATTTTCATGCTGACGGAATTGTCGTTGACAAAACTGCACTAATTCGAATAGCGCTTATTTTGATATGATTGAAGTATTCAATGAGATATTACAGTTCAAAGGAGAGTCACGAAAGCGGCCAAAACTATTTAAATAACCCAACAAAATTTGTAATGGTTCAGTGAAACATTCGTCATACGATTTGAAGAATAATCCATGATACCCGTGTAGACCGCAGCTTTCAATGTTTTCTATCTTGCAATGGATGTTCCTTATTTATGTACTTTATGTTATGCGAGTGTATTTCAATAAATTGAGGGTTTTATATATGATATTCATCGTAGAATTATCCTCTTGAACACATACACTACATTCAGGTACAATTCGTGTATATATGTTATTCATCGTAGAATTATCCTCTTGAACATGTACATTACATTCAGGAATAATTTGTGTATATATGATATTCATCGTAGAATTATCCTCGTGAACATATTCATGACATTTAGAAACGATTCGTGTATATATGTTATTTACCGTAGAATTATCCTCGTGAACATATATATGACATTTAGGAACAATTCGTGTATATATGATATTCATTGTAGATTTATCCTCTTGAACACATACACTACATTCAAGTACAATTCGTGTATATATGTTATTCATCGTAGAATTATCCTCTTGAACATGTACATTACATTCAGGAATGATTTGTGTATATATGATATTCATACATATACATACATATATGATATACATACATATACATACATATACATACTCGTGAACATATACATGACATTTAGAAACGATTCGTGTATATATGATATTCATCGTAGAATTATCCTCGTGAACATATAAATGACATTCAGGAACAATTCGTGTATATATGATATTCATCGTAGAATTTCCCTCTTGAACATATACATTACATTTAGGAACACTTTGTTTATATATGATATCAATGGTAGAATTTTTTTCTTTAACATATTATACATGCCACGACATACTAACGGAGATATGAGGTTCGAGACTTTCTCAAATTGACTTCAGTTTCGTGAAAAACTAACAACAGACGTTTCGGGATAAAATAATATAATTGATAACTATCAAGAGAATCAAATTTTTTTCTGAAAATCTTAAAGATATGAGTCGATAATTTATCTCTCTCACTCTTGAAGTTCGCCTATGTATAACATCACATTCATCTAGCTTGAACAGGGTATATATTTCTGCACATCTCAGATTATTAATATTTATGCCGTCTTTTCCACAAATAACGTTCATGCCAAGCTATTTGCAGAATATTTATTGTGATTTCGTGTATATCCTTTGTGTTTTCTCGAAACCAACTGAGAATTGGGTTGGGATGAATAAATGTTGGATCCTCCTCTTTGATATTACGACGATTTCGTGTGTGAGTGGTAACACGGCGAATTTTTATTATAAATGGACCTTTTCACTTTTTGCGAAAGACCTTTCGTATAAATTGCGCTCGGATAGAATACGTATGGGAAATCGAAAAATGGTTTTATTTCGAATATGAAATGAATTCAGAGTGATCCACAATTTTTCTTTGTTATCATTCCACATTCGTGAATTTTCAATATAGTTCTCTTCATTTGAAGTACCGTGCAAATATTTTACTAGGGTAACTGTAAAATATCATTCGATATTATTATATGGCGTGAAGGATTATCTTTGAAAATTTCCTACAAACTCAAAATTCTGATTTAACTTTGAAATTCAGAAATATTCAATTGTGAATTTTCACAGAATATTTCTCTCACAATACCGTTATGTTTGTCTGAAGGTGGTTGACAATGTTTCGTGATGCATTTCATCAGTTCAGACTTCCATTTTCCAGCATGATATGAATTGATTTGAAATCCCTGAAGGCAAAAAATATGAAATTACTATGGAATAAATTACAAGCCACAATCAAAATAATTGAACCATTACCACGAGATGAAAAATTAAAAATTATTAACAAGGAATGAAAATTGAAAGACTTCAATTCAAGTTACTTCATGACGTTTCGATTGTTGGTATCCACAATCGTCTTCGGATGATAACTGGACTTATTCCTCCGAAATCTGTCTATTTATAGGTCATTCGAGTGCTTTCATCTATCCACTATTCCATTCCCTCTCTCCGCTTCATCGGTTTTAGCGGGAGCTGACCGTTTGATGGGGGTTGGTTGTGTTCCGCTTGATTATAGGTTTCCATATGTTGCGTATCTCTACGCTAGGAGTCTAGTTCGGCATTGCCATGGTTCCATATCAGGAAGGTATCCTCAACGTATCTCAACCAGACTCGGAGCTTCTTGTGGGCTTCTTCAATGACCAGAGTTTCAAACCACTCCGTATATATTTTGGCTATAACTGGTGAAAGTGGCGATTTCATTGGCAGTCTCTCAACAGACAATGGAAGTCTGAACTAATGAAATACCGTTATGGTTCACTTGAGTATCCATATTGTTATCAAATCTTCATCCACCTTCCATCAATAATTCAATATGGAAATGAAAATAGAAATCAATTTTTTTCTCACTATTCACTGTATTTGGGGAAAATTTGTAATATATTTTGGCCAAAGGCGACAAGTAACCAAGAAAAATTCAGTGCTATGAAAACCCTGGTATCAGAAGGGAAGTTCATCATCACCTTTCCCATTTTCACTGAGTTCACCAAAAATTTCATCGTTATGGAATTTCAAGAAAAACCTTTCTCTTCCACTATTTGCTGCGTTATTTATAATTGACACTGTCTTTCATGTAGCATTTTCCTGAATAACCATATTTTGATTTGATTGAAATTCCACTACTGGAAAAACCTTCATTCAACTGAGCTTGAATTTTGCTGAAAAAAATTAATGGAGCAGCTTTGTGTTGATATTTTGTTCTTATTAATATAGCTGGTATTGTCCTCATACAAAGGGTATCACTTTTATGTTGCATGTGAACATTTTTTCAGATTCCAAATAGTGATAACCATTCTAGACAAGTCATAAATGGAGCTCACTAATATGATCGTCAACAATTTCTATCCAAACATTCAGATCCAAATATTTTTTCATTCTTGATATCGAATATTCTGCTAGTTAACCACTCCATTACAAAAAAATTAATTGTACAGAGAATGATCTAGTCAGCAGCACCACCCCATGATTTCACTGAATTTTTTATTTTTCGGACAGGATTATCATCATTCGACTCGTGATGCAGATAGACTTCGTGATACCTTCATCTTTCAGCAATAAGCAAAATCAAACTAGCAGTTTTTCGTTCCAAAACGATGTTTGCCTCTGAGTCCACTCGGTGTCACTAACGGAACCTTAGGGATAACGAGCGCTGTCTTATTGTAGAAAACCTTGTTACAGTAATACGAAGCTCTGCCATAATAGTTCTTTCCCCAGCTACACGTGGAATCTATAATGAACCACAATGTAACCAAACCTCAGTTAACAGAGAAGAAACGAACTCAACTGTGACAAAAGATCAAGATTTCTTCGGCGTTTTTGCTGGGTTAGCAGAGGTGGAAAAAATTCTATGGATTTCCATATACATTTCATTAACATCGGATCGAGAGCGGAAGCTTTCCATTTTCTCAACTCTTGAACAAACCTAGAAGGCTACGTGGTGTAGTCAGGAAGCGACTTAAGCCGTTCTCAAGAACAGGATGGAAACTAATTCTTGAGTAGTGAAAGCATGATCTGCATCAGGAAAGAAAACTTCTGCCCTGAGGAGATCTTGTTCACGCTTTTTTTTCAACGATTTACCTGAGCCGAGGTGAAAAAGTTCTTGATGGCTGAATCTGATGTTTCATTCGGAATAGCTGATGCACCCCATATAGTTCCGTTGATACATATATCAAATTGCACCTTGAATATCCAACAAGCTACATATTCCGGCCTGGATGATGAATGCAGTTAGTACCCTGCAGTCATGGGAAAGCGTCTCCTTGAAATGCAGTGTGTGCACTGTGTGCAATACCTAATGAAGGTAGTCGCACACTGAACGCCGATCAGGTCCTTACTGGATTGAGGTGAATGTACCATGGTCTGACAACTTTGGAATATTGAGGTTCTGTTAGCAGACATGTACTCTGTACCTGCCCTGGTGTGGATCGGATCAGATTCTCATCGTTCGATAGAATCCCGTTCTGTCAGCTGATCTGACAAATCACTCACTCAATAAGGTGAGTTTCGAGTTTCAATAGGTTTGAAACCTAATAAACCTTCGCAGGTCGCAGTGGAAAGTCTAATAGACTCACCTACTTTGGATCGATCTGCCTACCTGTCAATTGTTATTATTTTTTTATTATAATTTTCACATAATTTGTTTTCATCTTGTGAGGAATTGATACCTATTCAAGGAATATTGTGTTATGTGTTCACTATTATGGATATAGATCAGGCGATTCCGAAATCAAACTAGTAACTAGAGAATATTTCATTGGATTTGCATCATTCCGTCATTTCACAATCACATCTCATATTATTGAGATTTCAGTTCTTCATTTTTCACCGAAACATGCAATGGTCTCTTCAATGAACTGGTGAAGAAGAAGTTTCAAATATAAAAGAATAAAGTTCCTCATGACAAATAAGATATTTGATAAAAGTGAAAAAAAACCTTAAAATTTTCTTTTGATTCCATTTTTATATATGTTGGTGACTGAGTGGTAGTACTTCACTTACCTGCCAAGGCCACCTGCCAAAAAGAGCATTTTTTCCTCCTACTATTCTTGTTTGGGGTTTCGTGAACATTTGCGGCATACCACAATCTGCAAAATAGAAAAAAAACAATTGACGTTTGCAACAAGCATATTTCCATAACGACATCATGAAAGTGATGTAATGGGGTCAACTTTCACCTCGGTATATCAAAGATCATTTGATAATATGAGAACTATGTGATAATTGTGAGTATATTTCAATTACTTTGTGTCATTCTATATCTGATCATACTCCATTCATTGGAAAATAGGGGATTAACTAAAAGTTATCCTCAAATTTAGTATAT